CACAAAATGCAGAGTTTTTTTGTTTTGTTTTGTTTTGTTTTTTAATTTTACAAAATGCAGAGTTTTGAACACACGTGTCAGAAACTAGCAGATGAAGCAGAGCAGAAAGGCTTGGCTGAGCTTCCAGAACAAACAGGGCGGTGGCTTCAAACCAAATCTCCCCCTGCACCCCCTGCAAACAGGGCAACATGAAAAACTTAATTTTGTGAATTTCAAACCAGACCAGAGACTCTAGAGACTGGGAAATGCATGTTAGTGTTGTCAGAGGCAACAGAAATCAGAGGGAAGCTGGCCGTGCAGGACCGGAGTGGGAGTACCATGAGGCCCGAGGAGCTGCCGGTGCAGAGGCAGCTGCACGTAGTCCTGAGGATCACAAGTCCATCCTCAAGTGCAAAAGGACAGGGGTGTCTGTGAACTGGACTTAGGTTAGACGGGGCTGGATTGGGCAAAAGCTGGGATTGTGTATGAGGGAAAATGGAGAGAGAATGTGCGGAAAGAGGGAGCGTCTGGTGTTGGCGAGTCTCAGAAAGCACGAGCTAAAACGTGCTCCCTCAGGATAGGGGCAGCTGCAGTCTGCAAGGCATCCGGGAGCAGGGAGGGTGCCACAATCCCTGCAGAGAGAATCCCACTGAGGCACCGAGTTTGAAGAATGGAGTCAGTGCGCCTGGCAGGAGCTTTTGAGTTGCCAATGGAAGGCTAGGGGGTCCCTTCTCCCCTTCCCCTGCAAAGAGCTGATCCAGGAAAGCTCAGCTTATTCGATATGTTTAACAAAAAGGAGCATCTGGCATAATGTCAATACAAAGCCACTGTAAGGAAAAACATGGGAAAGAGAAGCCATTTTTACCATAAGTTAAAGAATATTCACTAGAAAAAAAATCTACTATCATACTGTGAATTAAAAGAAGGAAAACTTACTGCCAGCCCTGGTGGCCTAGTGGTTAAAGTTCAGCACTCACCACTTGGCGGCCCAGGTTTATTTCCTGGTCACAGAACCACACCATTCATGTGTCAGTTGCCGTGCTGTGGCAGCGGCTCACATGGAAGAACTCGAGGGACTTACAGCTAGGATATACAACCATGCACTGGGGCTTTGGGAAGGAAAAAAGAAAAAGAGGAAGACTGGCAACAGATGTTAGCTCAGGGCAAATCTTTCCCAGCAAAAAAAAAAAAAAAAGAAAGAAAGAAAGAGAGGAGACTTAATAAAATAATCACCACTGAGAAGGAAACGAACTGGGGCCAGCCCTGTGGCCCAGTGGTTAAGTTTGCACACTCTGCTTCGGTGGCCTGGGGTTCACCTGTTCAGATCCTGGGTACGGACCTACACACCACTCATCAATCCATGCTGTGACGGCATCCCACATGGAGGAACTAGAATGACTTACAACAAGGGTGTACAACTATGTACTGGGGCTTTGGGGAAAAAAAAAAGAGAGAGAAGATTAGCAACGGATATTAGCTCAGGGCCAATCTTCCTCACCAAAAAAAAAGGGGGGGGAAATGAACCACAAGGACTTAGGGAAGAGATGGCTAATGGCCAAAGTGCTGGAGAGGATGAAATGTGAGCTGGAATTATTCAGGAAAAAAATAAGATAAGTATCACAGAAATAAATATGTAACTGGATGAGCATGGGGCACCATAGACACAGCAGAAGACATGGCCAGGGACAAAGGAAGTGGAAGTGAGAAAAGTCTACAAAACAAAATAGAATGAGGCTTTGAATATTTTTAGAAGGCAACACAGAAGACAAGCAAAGAAGGTACAACAGGTGGATAGTTGGAGGCCTCAAAGAGGGTCCCAGGATGACAGAGCAGAACACACAGTCAGACTGTCCTGTAACCCCTGCAATGACGTGGATTTGGCTGAAACACGGTAGGCAGCCGGCTCCCGTTAGCTGTCCTCAGATGAGCGTGGGCTAAAGTTATCCTCAGTGGAGGAGGGGGAACCAGGAGGCAGGAGCATCATCTCCACCTTCCTAGTATCCGCCCAGCCCAGTCTTCCCAGATCAGACCAGGGAATGGCTGCCAGTGCCAGGGGATTCCTAGAGTCCCTGCCGCCATCCAGGCAGCCACAGGGCCCAGAGGGGACATTGAAACCGGGTGGCACCAAACTGCAGCCTGGACCTGTATCGATTGACCCCCAGAATTTGCCTTCTGGCAGCTTGTGGCTGCCTGAGTCGTTTCACTGTTTTGGTGTTAATGTGAGCGTACAGCTTACAGGATGGAATTTTATGGACCCCCCCTTTTCATTGTGTGGTGATGCTCCACTATTTTTTAAATATAATTCAAGAAAAGCTTACTGAGGGGCTAGCCCAGTGGCACAGCGGTTAAGTTCACACGTTCTGCTTTGGCAGTCCGGGGTTCACTGGTTCAGATCCTGGGTGCGGACATGGCACTGCTTGGCAAGCCATGCTGTGGTGGGCGTCCCACATATAAAGTAGAGGAAGATGGGCACGGATGTTAGCTCAGGGCCAGTCTTCCTCAGCAAAAAGAGGAGGATTGGCAGCAGTTAGCTCAGGGCTAATCTTCCTCAAAAAAAAAAAGAAAGAAAGAAAGAAAAGATTACTGAAATAAAAGAAGATGAATTTACCTATTGAAAGGACACACCGCATGCCTGGGAAAATCGACATGTGTACCGAGGGGAATGGTCAACATTGCGACACAACCCAGTAATGTCACTGCCTTTTAACAGAAATGAAAGGATCCTGTAGGCATCCAGGCAAAAACAACCAAGTCGCTTGAGAGGGAAAATAGACTGGCTTCAGACTTTCCCACGGCGACGTTCAACTCCAGAATACAGTAGCGCGACATCCACGAGATCCAAAGGAGAGAAAGTAAGAGCCAAGGATTTTCTGTGCACACACATGCTGGCCTTCAAGTTGAACCGCTACAGAGAAAAGTTTTAAATCTGCCAAGAACTCAAGAAATCTTGCTGCCATGAGCCGTTCGTGAGAAACTCCTAGTGGCTCGATCCCAGGCAACCAAGAGACAATGGGGGTGGGGGGGGGAGCGGGGCTGGCCCCGTGGCCGAGTGGTTAAGTTCGTGCGCTCCGCTGCAGGCGGCCCAGTGTTTCGTTGGTTCAAATCCTGGGCGCGGACATGGCACTGCTCATCAAACCACGCTGAGACAGCGTCCCACATGCCACAACTAGAAGGACCCACAACGAAGAATATACAACTATGTACCGGGGGGCTTTGGGGAGAAAAAGGAAAAAAATAAAATCTTTAAAAAAAAAAAAAGAGACAATGGGGCCATTTTGTCACCAGCACTGGGGTGGGCATCATGTATATGTAACTACAGAGTAAAAGTGAGACAGAGTAAGGATGTTGGAACAGAATTTAACATTCATGCTCCGATGTATAAAAGATTCATCTTAGTAAAAGTGAGAAGAGAGGGAGGGACAGAGGCTGGGGGGACGGAGGGAGCTGAGGTCTCACATTGTCCCGTCTGTCTCCTGGGGTTTCAGTGAATCAAAGAATACCATTTAAAGCTGAGAAATTGAGAAACAGCATAGAAGTAAAAATTGGAAAGGAGGAGTGAACGGTCACTATTTGAGATGATGTGGGGAACCCAAGAGAAGTGATGAAAACCCAAGGGAACCGATGGAAAAGCTGCTTCAGACGATAAGAGAATTCGGGATGGCAGTGGGGTGTAAGAGTTATGTAAAACATCAATGGTCTTTGTAGGAACACATATCACCCTGTTAGATGCTTAATAGGCAGCCCGCTTTACAACAGCAACAGAAAGATGAAATGCCTAGCAATAAACATCATGAAAATATTCGGGACCCACTGAGGAAAAGTTTAAAACCCCTGAATACAAGAACAGAGAGGCACACATGGCTTGGGAAGGAAAATGTAATGCTGTATTATGAAGTTGTCATTATGCTCTAAGTTAATTTATAATTTTAACATCCCGGGAAATATTCCGACTGATCCCCCCATTCTCAGAACAGCCTGAGATGGTTGGCGAATTTCACATGAAAACATAACGGGAAGAGCCAAGGAAACTCTGAGCGGAAAAGCAGAGGGCATTCCGATCCTAGTGGGTTCCCGTGAAGCCTCGGCAACTGTGGCTGCAGCTCGTGAATAGAAGGAGAGTAGAAGGCCCGGAAATAGACCCAAATGTGTGTATGATAATTGAATGTATGGTTCAAGTGGCTCCTTACATCAGTGAAAAGCGGAAAGATGGAATTTTCAATAAATGGCATTGGAACAAATGAGTAGCCATATGGAATAAAATGAACCCAGACTTCCCACCGTACACTCCAGGATGAGTTCCAAATGGATCAGAAATCTAAATGTAAAAGTGAAACCATAGGTACTAAAATAAAACATAAGCAACTTGCTTCACAACCTCAGCGTCTCTTGCTAAGATTCAACACTGCAAACACTGTGAAAGAAAATATTGATAAATTCTACTCATACAAATCTTTTTAGTCCACATGACTGAAAAAGTGCCAGTGGAGCATAACTCCCACGCCCTGAGGGTGGGCTGTGCCTAGTGACCTACGAAGAGGACAGGATGGACGGGGCAGAGTTACAGTGAGAAGCCTGACAACCACCCCTCAGCCAGGTGACCAAGGTCAACACCACAGGGATCCGTCCTGGTGACAGCGCCTGCCCTGCTGGGATGGGACGAGAAGGGCTCCTCCCCTTGGTGGTCCTCCTCCCAGACCCATGGTCCCAGTCTAGTCATGAGAGAAACAGCAGACAGATCCCAGCTGAGGGGCTTCCTACAAGACACCTGCTCGGTCCTCCTGGAAACGGTTAAGGTCATTGAAACAAGGGGGTCTGAGAAACTGTCCCTGCCCAGAGGAGCTAAGGGGACATGACGACCAAATGTACCATGGGCTCCTGGATGGGGACCTGGGACAGAGAAAGGACAGTAGGCACAAACTGAGGAAATCCAGAATAGACTAGCCAGCCCCATAAGCAGGTGCTTAGCAAACGTTTGTTGAATGAGTGAAGGCCGTTCATGCTCCTCTGTTTCCTTCCTGCAGAAAATCGCCTTCATGGTAGCGCTGGGCCTGGTGACAACGGAACACTTGGAAGGTAAGGTTTGCCCCGCGGCAGGCTGGGCTGGGCCTGGCCCATAAGATGGGGTGGGGGCCGGGCGTGATGCGGAATATCTGGGCTGTTGGGGACAGTGGTGCCCAGGGCTGGCAGAGGAGTGCGGGCTTCCCGAGGCAGGCAGATGGGTGACTGCTGCATCTGTGCCCTTCCAGAAATCCAGAGCAAGCGCCAGGAGCGCAAGAGGAGGAGCACAGCCAAGCCCGCCTACAGCGGCCTCCTGGAGACAGAGGTGAGGCCCACCGTGGCGCACCGGAACCAAGGGTGGGCTCCTTCCCTGTCCCCTGGGGTTGCAGTTCGGGGCATGACAATAAAGAATGTCTTCCTTCACCTCCTGAGATCAGAGTCACTGAGACCATCAGATGTGGGCGGTGACGGTGTCGGGGGTGTTCCCTGAGTAACCTCCGTGGGGAGAGTGGTGGGGACGCAGGGCGCGGCAGGCTTCCAGGTTCTTGGTGGCCTGATGCTCAGGCGTGTCGTCCGGTCGCAGGCCGTGGGGAGCGACACCCTGGAAGTGCCCCCTAGCAGGGAGGCAGTTTCCTTAGGGCCCCGAAGTCCAAAGCTTGGGGCAGCTTTCCAAAGTAGAGCGATGTTCCCAGAGGCCACTGCCTGGCACGTTCCAGACCTGAGCTGGCGCTGCCGCAGGCCCACAGGGCTCTGCTGAGCCCGGAGGAGGGTCGAGAAAACGCCGTCGCCCTCCCCAGAGTATTGGTCCATCTGGGCCGGTCATCCCGAATCCAGGTCTCTGAACTGGAACTCGGCTGGGAGGGAGGGCTCCCACGGAGCGGTGGTCGTTCCAGCCCTGCGACCACCCTGTTAGGAAAGCCCACCTGGGCCAGGTCCACAGCCCCCTGCCCTCCCCGGCTCCTGCTCGGGGAACACGCCCCACATCTGTGTTCTTATACCCTTTACTTCCTCCTCGGCTTTCTGACCAAGCCCTGTCCCTGAGACGGGGTGCCCCAAGGACTGGCCCCCTTTTGTGAGAATGTTGCCAGTTGTTTCTCAAACCTCCACCCGAGGGCCTGGCATCTTCTCTGCAGTGGGGGCCTGTTCCCTGTGCTCATTGATGACACCGTCGTCTCCTCGTCTCCGAAGTCTGTGGCCGAAGACCTGATTGGTAAATCAAGAGCCAGTTCAAAGCCTTGTGACCTTTGAGCCCTGGACACATAAGTAGCCTCAAGAGTGGCCCTTCCACGGGTCCCTCCCCACAGCCCGGCCACAGGGAAAGAGTGGGGCACAAAGCCTGCCGTCCAACTCTAGAACTGTCTTCTGCCACAGACAAAGCCACCACAAAGCATCAGGGTCTGGACCAGTATGGCCTGCGGTTGTTAGAGCCTCCCTTCTGGAATGTTCCAGAAACTTCCATCTACACGTGATGATTTGGGCACCAAGGGCCACTCTTCATGGCTTGGGTCCCCAGGCCACATGCCAAGAGGCGGGGTTAGGGAGCCAGTCTACCACAGCCCTCATTTCCCCACCTGACTCCAGAACCAGCTGAGAACGAAGATGCAGGAGGCAGACAGGTGGAGACCCCGATGTCAGCTTGGTTACTTATTTGCTCCAGTTTGGGATCTCTGACACATCCTTCCTGCATGAGACTGATGTCCCCAGGGGAGCAGGGATGGACTCCATGGCCTCCTGCAGGGCACAGTGTCAGCTGATTTTGACCCCGCTGACCTGCCTCCCCCCTGCCCTGCGTCCCCTCTGTCTGCCCCTGTTTCTGCCTCTGGCCAGGGTGTCCAGCTGGAGTGGGGAGCCTGTCCCGGGTGAGTCCTGGGCAGGGCAGTGGCGCCAAGCAGGGCTCCACATAACCGCATGTTTGGTTTCCTTTTCTGTCCCTGCAGAGGAAGCGGCTGGCGTCCAACTATCTCAACACGCCCCTGGTCCTCACAGCCAGAGGTGAGTGCCGATGGGGCCGTGTGTCTCCCTGGAGCCAGGGGCCAAGCTGGCTTTGGTGGCCGTCCGCTCCTGGCAGGGCCAGGGCTGGGCTTGGCCAAGCCCCCCTCCTCCGGTGGCAGCAGGCCTGAGGGCCCAGCCTGCCCGTCTGCAACAGCGACACAGCTGCTTTCTGGCGGGAAGCACACTGTGGCTCACCAGGCCCCCTCGCCTTGGCCTCCTTCGTCCTGTGGCTCCTTTGGGGAGGAGGGCCGGTGCACTTGCTCCCATGCGACAGGTGCAGAAACTGAGTCTCTGAGCAGGTGTGGGCCATGGTCACACATGAGGCCCAGACCCAGGGTTCCGGGCTGCCCCTCTGTCCCACCCCGGTGTGATCCTGAGCAGAGAACCAGGCCACGTGGGCTCAGAGGCCACTGTGGCGGGACCCGTTGACCACAGGGCTGGCCTGGGTGGGAGTGTGGATGACGGGCCAGGGAGGAGCCTCCCCCGGCCTCCCTATCCCACCACCTCCATGTGCAGCCTCTGCTGCCCAGGGCCTGGGCGTGCCTGGCGTGGTGGCCTCTGCCCTGTGGCCCAGCCCAGGCGCCACCTGCTACCACACGGCCCTGGAAAGAACCTCTCTCCGCCCGCACACAGGCACCAGCTACCTCCCGGCTGGGCTGGTGGCTCTCAGTCCTCGTCTCGCACGCCCTCCTGTGCCTTCCCTGGGTTCTCCGCCCAGCTCTGCCTCTGACTTGCTGTGTAGCCAGGGCACTGGGAGCCCCAGCTCTAGCAGGCTGGGCCTGGCCCAAGGCCTCCACCCAAGGCTGCTTGGACCCCTCCCTCTTCTGCCAGCCTCGCGCCATCGCAGGACCTCAGGGGAGCCAAGAAACCCACATCCTCAAATACAGCCAGGAAGTCACTTTTTGTTTTCAGTCAGAAAAAAATGAATACTGTCACATGTCGCATAATGACATTTTGGTCAACGAGGGATCACATATATGATGGTGGTCCCGTGAGATTAGTTCCATAGAGCCTAGGTGTGGAGCAGGCTGTACCATCCAGGTTTGTGTAAGTGCACTCGATGATGTTCGCACAACGACAAAATCGCCTAACGATGCAGTTCTCAGAACGTGTCCTTGTTGAGTGACGCATGACTGTAGTCCTGGGGCGGGATGACTGCCTGCTTCTTGAGACTCTGTGTGGCTTTCAACATGTCACATCACCTCCCTGGGCCTTGGTTTACTGACCTGTAAGATGGGCTCATAACAGTACCTGTCCCTCAGCCCTGGGAAAGTGACATGACAAGCGAACGTGACAGCACTTTGTAAACTGTCGAGTGCTGTGTACACACAGGAGCTGTTCTTCCAGCTGGATGGTATTATTTGCAGACAGGTCTGACCCAGAAACTAAAAGGACAGCCATTTTTTGTGATCATTAAAATGTGTGGTTTGGCATCACTTGGTAGAATAAGAGTGGGTTACGGCCAAAAAAGAGCTGAAAATAAGTGCCTCTGAGGGGTCCCTGGAGCGATGGTTCCCTCCACTACCCAGTGCTCACTGCAGCGTGTTCCTCAGAGCTCAGCAGCTATGGTGAGCCTGTCCCATAGTGGCTCCTGGCTGTGACCAGGGCAGAGACCCTTACTCCGATCATGCCCCGGGTGAGAACCCACATGTCAGGGGGCCTGTGATATTCCCATCATGCCATGGGTAAGAGCCCACATGTCACGGGGCCTGTGATACTCCCATCATGCCCCGGGTGAGAACCTCAGCCACCCTGGGCCTCGTGGACTCCAGTCTGGATTGGTGTCCCTCCCATGCCCACTAACATATTCTCCGCCCTTCTTCCCTGTGCCAGCCAATGAGGACCCCTGCTGGAAGGTACGTGTCCCCTCATCCTCACACTTGGGTGGGTGGGGCATGCTTTCCCTACAGTCCAGGTAGGGTTGCTCCTGGCAAGGAGGGAGGGCCCTGTGTCCTGCTGCCCTGGAGCGGGGCAGAGGAAAGAGTTGAAGCTGAGGCTCTGAGCAGGGGTCCTCGGTGTTGAGAGCTTTGCACAACACCCGGTCCCCTTTCCCACCTGCTCTGCAAAGTCGGTCCCTGATGCCGGGCTCAGCCCACAGGTCGAGCAGGCGCTCTCCCTGCACAGTGCTGAGGACGGAGGGACCCTGGGAGCCACGAAGGCCCAAGGAGAAGCACCTGATGCTGGATGCCAGCCAGGCTGTGCTTGCCTCTGCCCAGCCCCACTGTGTGGTCCTGGACAGAGTTGGCTCTCTCTGGTCCTTGTTGCCCACCTCATGAGGGGCTGGCTTTGGGAATCCCCAGGGTCTCACTCCACATTTCTGTGACCCTGTGAGACCCCAGCCCCCCGTGCACACACCACGTGCCCGCTTCCCAGAACATTGGCTGGGAAATGACCTCATTTGCGGGCATGGCCTCAGAGTTTATTCAACGTTTTTCTTTACTAAGTTTCGGATCTAATTCTAACAGAATTTTCCAGTCCCCGCCTGTCTGGCTAAGGGTCAAGGCGCTAGGAAGCAAGAGGTGACAGGCATAGACTCTGGTTACACAGCGTTGTTTGCCACGATAACCTGCAGGGTCGCAGATCCGTGCTGGTGGGCCTGGCCGTGTTTGTCCACAGCCGCCCTAGGCCCGGCCAGCACGGGTTTGGGGACAGGAGACTCCTCAAGCTCGAGTCCCTCACCCGCAGCGCCCACAGTCCTGGAGGGGCCTTGGCTTCAAGGCAGGAAACCCGGATGCTGCTCTTCCTCCTGGTTTCCAGGCCTGTCCCGACATGGCTGCCCTCTGGGGCTCACCCTCCCTCTCAGAGCTGTTGAGAAACACTGGCGGAAGCTGGGTCACAAGCAGGTCAGGTGGCAGCTGCCTGCTTCCACCTGGCTGACCTGCCGCCTGCCCACCCTTCTCTTTCAGAACGAGATCACCCACGATGAGCACTGTGCCGCCTGCAAGCGAGGGGCCAACCTGCAGGCCTGTGGCACCTGCCCAGGGGCCTACCACCTCAGCTGCCTGGACCCGCCCCTCAGGACGGCGCCCAAGGGCGTGTGGGTGTGCCCCAAGTGCCAGCAGAAGGTATGGGAGGCTGTGTCGCCTGCTAGTGCTGGCACCCCCTGCCCCCTCCCGTGGCACATTGAGGCTACTCAAACCTGGGCTGCAGAGATGGGAGGGCAGAGGGGCTGGTGTGGAACAGGCTTTCTCAGCCTCGGCACGGTCGGCGTTTGGGGCAGGATAATGCGTTGTGGGGGCTGCCCTGTGCACTGCAGGATTCTACCCACTAGATGCCAACAGCACCCCCATCACGGCCATCTCAGGCATCGCTGGTTGAGGACCACTGGTGTGGACTGAGCAGAGGTCCCTCTGCCCGTGTCTGACTTAGTGGCTTCACCTCTGACTCCAGTCCCAGACTCCAGGCAGAGCTGGACCAGCAAGGCAAACTGCAAAAAGAGTGCCAGGGGCCGGCCCGGTGGCGCAGCGGTTAAGTGCTCACGTTCCGCTTCTCGGTGGCCCGGGGTTCGCCGGTTCAGATCCTGAGTGTGGACATGGCACTGCTTGGCAAAGCCATGCTGTGGTAGGCGTCCCACGTATAAAGCAGAGGAAGATGGGCACGGATGTTAGCTCAGGGCCAGTCTTCCTCAGCAAAGAGAGGTTTGGCAATAGTTAGCTCAGGGCTAAGGTTCCTCAAAAAAAAATTTAAAAATAAAGATAAAAAACAGATCTTGGGCTGGCCCCGTGGGCTAGTGGTTATTAAGTTCAGCCTACTCCACTTTGGTGGCCCGGGTTCAGTTCCCGGGTGCAGACCTACACCACTTGGCAGTGGCCATGCTGTGGTGTCCCACATACAAAATAGAGGAGGACTGGCACAGATGTCAGTTCAGGGCGAAACTTCGTCAGCAGAACAAACAGATCTCACAGCCGCTGCACAGTTTGCTCACCAGCTCTCTGAGAAAAACTCTGTGCAGACTGAAAAACCTGGGAGAAGATTCTTCCAGGTGCTGATGTGTGTGGCTGGCGGGTGGGAAGCAGTGGTGGGTTTTTTAAAGTATGCTTTTCTACAGAAGGTTTTACTTATAAAATCATAGGGGAACCCTCTTTATTTCAAAAAACACTACCTCTCGTGAGCTCCTGTCATCCTGGCTTTGTGGGGCTCTAAGAAGAGGGTGGGTACGGTGGGCACGTGCTGCTGTGGGGCTGCACTGTGACTGCCTGGGGTCACAGCTCTTTGAGGGAATGTGGAGAGGGACAAGATTCTGTTCCCCCACTTCAGCATGATGGCGGGGCCTCCCTGGGTCCCCGATTTGTCCCTGCCTTGCCTGGGCTGCTCTCGGGTCCAGGACTGGGAAGAAGACAGTGATAGTTCATTCATTCAGGAAGAATGTGAGCTGCTCCCTGCCAGGCGCTGTTAGGGGCCCGGGCCACCAGCACGTTCCTGCTCTCACGGAGCTGCTGTCCTTACTGAGCAGCCGCTAAGAGCCAGACCATGAGGCAGGTGTGGCCCTGGGCCCGGGTCACAGCTGAGCCACCTGCACTGAGGGGCCTGCCTTCCCAGCATGACACGGCCAGGGCATGGCGGGGCCCGGCCTGTGCAGTTGCTCATTTCCCCATCTGCTCTCCAGGCCTTAAAGAAAGATGAAGGTGTGCCCTGGACCGGGATGCTGGCCATTGTGCACTCCTACGTCACCCACAAAACAGGTAAGACATCCTTGGGGAGTGGGAAAGGGCACCTACTCTCCTCTCTCCAACCCTGCCCCCAGGCCTCTGGATTCACTCAGCGCCCATCGGAGGCTGTTCCAGGGCAGAGCACTGAAAACAGGGGCCCTAGGAGTGGTCCCGTGTGCAGGGCAGTTCCTGTGTGGGGGTGGCATTTCCAGTCCTTCTGCATCCAGCCATGGCCACTGTCCTGCAGGAGGACGCGGCCAGAATGGCCTGTAGGCATAGACCTCGGATTCTTTCCGCCTCTCCTGCTCGCCCCTGACCCAGCCCTGCTCAGCTGCCCTTCCCGGGGGCCTGGCCTTCTCTTCCCCAGTCAAAGAAGAGGAGAAGCAGAAGCTGCTGCAGAGAGGCAGTGAGCTGCAGAGCGAGCACCAGCAGCTGGAGGAGCGGGACCGGCGCCTGGCCTCGGCGGTGAAGGTGCGTGGGCGGAGGGGGACAGGGTGCTGCCCTTAGAGCCACAAGATGTAAATCCACAGCCTCACTGTCCGTTACCGAGGCCCCAGGAGAGGACAGAGGCCAGCATCACCCAGCGAGTCCAGAGGTGGAGATTGCAGCTCTGTGACTCCTTTGACAAATAGTTTCAAGCCGTTGAGCATCCGGCTCTGCTACTCTCCATCCCTGCGACTGTGGCAAGGCCCTGACTGTCTCGGAACCTCAGTTTCCTCTGGTGCGAAGTGAACATAATGGTTCCTCCTCTGTAGGGTGGTGATAAACAAGACAATGGTGATGGTGGTGGCGGTGATGATGGTGATGATGGTGATGGTGGTGGTGGTGATAGCAATGGTGATGGTGGTGGTGGTGATGATGGTGGTGATGGTGATGGTGGTAGTGGTGGTGGTGATGATGGTGATCGTAGTAGTGGTGGTGATGATGGTGATGGTGGTGGTAGTGGTGGTGGTGATGATGATGGAGATGGTGATGGTGGTGATGATGATGGTGATGGTGGTGGTGGTGGTGATGATGGTGATGGTCAGTAGTGGTGGTGGTGATGATGATGATGGTGATGGTCGGATGGTGGTGGTGGTGGTGATGATGGAGATGGTGATGGTAGTAGTGGTGGTGGTGATGGTGGTGGTGGTGGTGATGATGGTGGTGATGTAGATGGTGGTTGTGGTGGTGATGATGGAGATGGTGATGATGATCATGGTGACGGTGGCGATGGTGAGAATGATGGTAACAGCAGTGCCAGACCCTGGTAAACTCTTTGAGTGCAGTATCTCATTTCATTCTCTCAATAACCGAAGGAAGAGGCTCTGTGGTTATTCCTGTGTTAGAGTTTTGGATACAGTTTCAGGAAGTTTAAGTTACTTGCCCGAGCAGCAAATAACTTAAACTCTGACTCGAGGCCTCAGTCCTGACTGCATCACTGTATCGCCGTGATATATACGGACGCTGGCGAAAGCCAGGAGGACAGCAGGCAGGGAGACAGCAGAAGGCTGCCCGGCCATCTGAAGGTCTTCCGCAGCTGCTGTGGTTGAGCCAGAACGGGCCCTGCGCTTCCCCCAGCAGGAGAGAGAGGTGTGCTCACTAGGTGACGTCACCACCACGAGGGAGCGTGTTTCCACGCTCACGAGCACATCATTTCTAGCCATCAATTCTAAAACAAACTTCTCCTGTGGGGCTGGCTGCCATTTCTTGCTGCCACCTGGTTTTTGTGAGACCCTCTCCCTGGTGTCTTGTGAGCCTCTGCGGTGGAAGGGAGGGGCCTTGGGAGAGGGGGCTGAGGGGGTGCCTGCCCCAGGACGCCTGCACGGTTGAACTTGGAGCCTTCCCTCTGACCCCTCTTCCCTGAACAGAAATGCCTGGAGCTTAAGACGAGCCTGCTGGCCCGGCAGAGGGGCACCCAGTCCTCCTTGGACCGCCTGCGGTCCCTCCTGAGACGGATACAGGGCGAGCAGATGCTCCAGGTCACCATGACGACCACCAGCCCCGCCCCGCTGCTGGCGGGGCCCTGGACCAAGCCCTCAGCAGCCGCCATGCACTCTGCCCTCCAGCACCCTCAGGGGCACAACTGACCCCGAGGGACCCGTCTTCACACCCACGGAAAGTTACTGGGACCCTGCTCACGAGACCTGAGGGTTCCGTCAGCCTTAATTCATAAACACTCTGAATTTCAGACAAAAGTCAAACCAGACAGAGGGAGACAGAGGAAAGAAGGGAGAAGGAGCTGGGTGACCGTCCTGGAGCCGGGACCCGGTGGGGATGGAGTCCTACGTCCTTCACCCTTAGTCGGGACACCCAGAAGCCGGGTGACGCACACAGTAGCCCCCACCGTGGTGGGACTGCCCAGGCCTCCGCTCCTGGGCCCAGCTGTCCCCGTGGCCTCGTGCTGCCCCCAGGCCGGCGGGAGGGAGGGAGGCGGAGGCTGTGGAGGGGCCCGGAGGCTGTGTAGCCCCAGCCCCCGCTGAGGGCAGCACCTCCCGGGGTCCTGCGGGCGGGAGCCGAGGACACGCAGACATAGCTGAGTAGTAGGGTAGGTGGGACAGACGTGGGTAGCAAATCTAGCTAGGACTCCGAGCCCCTCCCTCACAGGGGCCCATCCCGGGCCCGGCACCCCCGGCGCCTTCCAGAATCCGGGCCCCTGTCTGTCAGTATTATTAGCGTTCAGATTCACAGCTGTTTGACTTGAAAGAACCCCTGTGGACGTGCGTCCCGAGGGGACACCGCCGTGCTCACCTGCTTGCCCGCCACGACGTCTTCGGAGCGCCCTCGCCGCCGGCGCCTCCTCCCTCCCGCGGATCTCTTGGACTCACTTTGCTATCGATGTATTTTTCTCATGGACTTTTCGGGCAAGACGGAGCTGCAGCCAGGCGGCGGGGAGGGGCACCTGGCAGGTTTTCTATTTTGGGTTGAATCGTTCAACTTACGACGACTGAAGCCTTTTCTTTTCTCCTTTCGAAGAGCCGATAAAGTATTCCATGCCTCTTTTCTTGCCAGAACAGACACTATGCCAAAAAATAACTTTCCATTTTTGTATGGCGTTTTTATTGTGAGATATTTAATGTGAAGGGGGACCCTTGCCGACTTCTTTTTCTGCTGACAGGAGTCTCTGCTGCAGGGGACGAAGGGGAAACCCCTGGGGGGGGGGGGCGCCACGCTGGAGAGACCCAGAGCATTTTTATAAGAAGTGTGGGGGAGGGGCGGGGGGAAGAGACGGTGGTGGCCTCAGCAGGGTCTGGCCTTCGGAGACCTGAGACCCGAGAGACTCTCTCTTTGCCGTGTCCTTGAGCGGGTGAGAGCTGAGGGTTGCACGCTGTCTTAAAGGGCCCCTGCGTCTCCGGGTGAGCTACGTCTGCGCATCACACCCCCGGCTTCTCCAGTCCCCAGGGACTTAGCACAACTGGCTGAGATCCGGGAGCCGCGGGGCTCCCACCCCCAGCATATCACATGGTGCCGAATTGCATTGAATACACGTGTACGTGTGCGCACGCGGCCCCAGACACGCACGCGCACACGCACGCAGACAGGTGCAGAGCAAGGAGGCTGGCCAGAATCCCCGAGACTGCCACGGTCCCTCCTGTCATTTTCACGACTCCGGGAGAAACTGTGCTGTACAATACAGATCTATTTTAATACACTTAACACTGGGTTGAACAAGATTTTTATATTCTTTTATTGATGAACAGAGTGAACTGTGGGACACACATCATATATATTGGTTACTCTAGATGCTAAGTTTGCATTGCTGCGTGGCTCGCGATGTAAATGTCTTCAGGTTCCTTTTTGGTTGGTTGGTTTTTCTTCTTGGATGGATTGAATTAAATTTTTTAAAAATGTCATGGGAGGTTACGAAAGCTTGGACCCGGGAGGGGTAGCAGCCGACGTGTCTTGAGAATTAGTTTTTCGGACCAAGGAAGACCGTCCAGTGGATAGTGAGGATAGAGAAAAAGTGTTTGTCTTAAATATGCCAATGTAGTTTTCCTTCTGTACGACGCATTAAACTCGGTCGATGATTTCAAAGCCCCGTGGTTTTTGTTTCCTTGCCTTCCACAGAGAGGCCCCTGGGGGCACGAGGGACAGGGAGGTGGGAATCGCAGAGGCTGGAAATCGGGGTCCCGCCCCCTCCCCCGGTAGGTGGCAGGTGGCCCTGTTAGGGCCAGGATTGGTGGTCACGACTAACAGAAACCCCCCAGGCGTGCTGCAGAGCCCGAGGGCGGAGTCCCCACGGCTCCCAGCTCCTGTCTTCTTCTCCCTGAGTATCACCATCACTTGCTTTTTCTGCTTCCCGGGCAGCATGGCTCACAAGTCCCACAAGCACCGCGGGGCTCAGGCTGTGGCCTTTCAAGGGAGCAGCCAGACTGGGAGGCCAGGCCCCTGCGTCCTGGCTCCAGACTCTGCGCAGAGGCCTCTGGTTGGCCCAGCTGGGTGAGGAGACCACCCAGCTGTGGGGGGACTGAGAGGTGTGCCCACCCAGCGGGAGTCCTGAGCCCCAGTTGGCCCAGGGTCACATGGTCTGACCCCTCTAGCCTCTCTCTTCCGTGCAGCCGCTGAATGTGGAGGGCCCGGGTCTGTGCTCCGACCTCTCCTCTCCTGGATTCCTCGGCTGGCCCCATCCAGCCTCCTGGCTTTCTGACTCTATGCTGGTGGCTCCCTGCTTTTGCCTCCATCCTGGACCTCTGCCATGGACTCCAGCTGCTGACACCCGACCGCCTAAGGCCGGCCCCACTGGATTTCACCCCGATTCCTCGCCCTCCACACCTGGTCATCGGCAAAGCTGTCAGCTACGCCCTCAGAATATGAGCAGGATGCGGCTATGTGTCACCCCCACCAGCATCATCTGGCCACAGCCCATCATCTCACACGGGTTACTGCAGCCACCCCCTTGACACGGTCTCCTCCCTATCCCACAGCACCAGACTGACAGCACCTCTGTTAGAACCCTGCTGTCACTCCCCATCTTGGTTGGCAAAGGTCAAGTCCTCCAAGGCCCCAGGCACTGCACGCCATCCCCTTCTGCCTCCCAGCCTGCTCCTCTTCATTTTCATTGCTCTGTTCCAGCCACGTGGCCTCCTTGCTCTGCCTGGAATGCACTAGGCATGCCACCACCCCAGGGCCTTTGCACATGCTGTGGCCTCACCCAGCATGCTCTTCCCAAGCTCTCTCCCTAACTGGCTCTTCTACCTGCCTGGGGACTTGACCACAGTCCCCTCTCAGGGCAGCTGTCCCCAGCCACCCTCACGAAGACAGCATGTCCTCTTTCCCTGCTCTGTTGGAGTCCTCAACGTTCACAGCCTACCACGGTTCACCTTTTTACGGTTTCGTCTGCTTCACTAAGGCAGGCAGGTGGGTCAGTCTCACTCACCAAGTCTCAGCGTCAAGAACTCAGTGAGGAGGAGCTCAGTCCATATTCTCGAATGAAAGAAGGAGCCTTTCCCGAGACACAGCTGCGGGGCCTCGGGGCTGCCTCCGTCCTGGCTCAGGGCCCCACCCTGGGGGTTTGCTTCCGCCAGGGCAGCCGGCAGGTCCGCTCGGCCCGGGGAGGCTGGAGGTGCGAGCAGGAGGATGAGAGCCGAGATGGGGGAGGTGATGAAACCGCCAGAGACCCTGCAGTTGTGCACTCCGCCCCGTCCTTGTCCTGGAATCCCATGGGGGTCCAGCACAGCCGCCTCACTCTCACCGAGCGGCAGGGCCTGGGGGCAGCATGGGCGCCCTCCAGCTCCTGGAACGGGGCAGGAATTCCCTCCAAAGACAGACCCCTCACCATCCATCCTCCACCCCAGGAATGAGAGTTCCCTCCACAGGACCACTCTGCCACTAGAACGGGGCCCCAAAGTGTGTGGTCTGCCTCCTGCAGCTTCACGCACCCCACCAGCGTCAGGTGACCCTGCATCCGTGCACCGGGACAGCCCTTGGGTTGGGACAACGGTCCCTCTAACACCTCCTCTTTCCCCAGTTCCATCTGACCCAGCCCTGGAGAGCAGCGCCTCCGTTGTAGCTCCACGGAGCCTCCCAGGCCAAGTTCAGGGTTGGAAGGGCCCCCCTCCCGGAGGGCTCTGCCTACTGGGACCCTGTCTTAGTTTCTGGGGGCTGCCGTAACAAAGTCCCACAGACCACAGGGCTTAAGCAACAGAAAGGTATTTGCTCCCAGTCCTGGAGGCTGGAAGTCGGAGATGGCGGTGTGAGCAGGGCCGGTTCCTGCTGCGGCTGTGGCGCAGAGTCTGCTCCAGGGCTCCTCCCAGCCCGCCTTGGGCGTTCCGTGTACGTGGTCGTGTCTTCTCATCATTCCCCTCTGTGCACGGTTTGTGGTGATCCTCGGCCCTCCCTGCCCTTAGACACATCACCTCGATCTGCCTCCATCTGCACGCGGCCTTCTCTCTGTGTGCCTGTCCATGTCCAAGTCCAAATTTCCCCTTCTCATAAGCACACAGTCATACCGGATTAGGGCCACCCTAATGACCTCATTTGAACTGAGTCATCCTATTTCCAATAAGGTCACCTTCACAATGCTGGGGGCCAGGACTTCAGCACCTTTAGAGAGGACACAATTCAACCCACCTTTCACAATTCACCTGCAATTCAACAGACACCTTCAGAAGGCCCCATGTGCCTTGTCCACCCCTACACAGCCCGGAGGTGGAGAGCCCACCATGTCACCCCCTGACTAGCCTGTTCCCCAACGATCTACTCTGTGCCCACCCCACCTGGCTCCTTCCTCAGAGCTGCCCTCGCATGTCACAGCCCCTCACAGGGGAACCGAAGCACAAGGACCTAGAGTGACATGCCCAGGTCACACAGCCAGCAGGTGACTTCAACCCTGGCTGTGGCCCCATGCCGGCACTCCCCACCACTCTGCTACTGGACACTGGTCACCCTGCGGGGCACCAATGGATGGCTGGAGGCCACCCCACCAAGCCACATGCACTCACACTCCTGACCTGGCCACCTCTCCGTTCTGGGGCTGCAGATGGTGACCCAGCCCCTGGGTGACTCCACAGAGGCCTGAGGGGACAGATAAGGGAGCATGGGCTAGGTGAGCACTACTGACCCCATTCTGCCCCTCCCCACTCCGACAGCCCAGAGAGCCTGTCCCACGGTGGGGGTGGGGTGCTTCTTAAACTGAACTCTGCTTGGCCCCCAATCCCATCTCTCAGAATCCCCACGGCTCGCAGGACAGTGCCGCAAATGGAGACCGTTTTACTCCTCTCTTTCCAATCTTTGTGTCTATTGTTTTTCTTGCCTTATTGCAATAGCCAGGACCGTCAATATAATTTGAATGGAAGTGGTGAGACTAAGTCCTTCTGTCTTGTTTCTAATTGTAGGGAGGAAGTTCCAATAAATTGACCATTTCGTACGTTATTTAGTAGACAGAGGAAGTTCGTTCTCTTCTATTTTAGTTTGCTTACATTTAAAAAAAATTATCAGTGGTTACTAAATTTTGTCAAATGCTTATACTACATCTACTGTAAAACCATGTGGGTTTTCTTCTTTATTCTGTAAATACAGTGAGTTATATTAATTTCCAAATGTTCAGCCAACCTAGAATTCCTGGATAAACTCCACTTGGTCATTGTGTCATACCCCTTTATATTCCTTTATTTGGCTTGCTAATATTTGCTAAGTATTTTTATCTTTATGTTTAATGAGGGATATTGATCTATAGATATTTTTCTTTGCAATGTCTTTGTCAGACTGTGGTATTAAGCAAGCTGGAAAGTGTTCTCTACATTTTGAAAGAGCATCTTTATCTTTTTCAGAATTCACCAGTGAAGCTCTCTGGGCCAGGAGTTTTATTCGTGGGAAGTTATTTTTATTTAAAAATTTTAATGTACTTAATATACAGGGCTATTCAGATATTATATTTCATTTGTGTCGGTTTCAATTAATTTGAATTATTCAAGGAATCTTTCATCTCTACAACGAATTTTTGGCATAAAATTGTTTATAGTATTTTAAATTATCATTTTACTATCTGCAGACTCTAAAGCGACCATTGTTTTCTCGTTCTATTTTTTCCCTTCTTCTTCTCCCCACCGCCCCCCAGTACATAGTTGTATATTCTAGTTGTAGGTCCTTCTGCTTGTGCTGTGTGGGAGGCCACCTCAGTGTGGCTTGATGAGTGATGCTATGTCTGTGCCCAGGATCCGAGCCCATAAAACCCTGGGCCACTGAAGCGGAGCACGAGAACTTAACCACTCGGCCACGGGGTTGGCCCCTGTTTTTTCATTCTTAGTTTGTGGTTTCTTTTATTTTAATATGTCTAGCAAGGGGATGATGAATTTTATTTATCTTTTCAAAGAACTAACTTTTGACTTTGTTAATTTTCTCTATTCTTGTCTGTTTTTTGTTGTTTATTTCTGTTCTTTATTATTTCCTTCCTTCTACTGATTTGCATTTACTTTGCTCTATATCTATACCTATACGTATACATATATGTGTATCTATCTATATCTATGTCTATATACCAGATTGGCCCAGTAGGGTGAGGAGCTCACCCCTGGACCATCAGCTGTGGCCAGAGGGTGGAGTCAAATATATCTCTCGTTTCTTAAGGTGGAACATTAGTCATTGATTTAGACTGTTCTTTTCTATTTTTATTTATTTCTAACCTAAGCATCCAGGTACTACTTTAACTCTGTGTCCCAAATGGTGACATTTTGCATTAGTGTTCACCTCAAATTATTTCCTCCCTTCCATTATGATTTCTTCTCTGATACATGGATTATTTAGTAGTATGGCCCCTTTTTCTTTCTTTTTTTAAAACATTTTCATATATTTAGGTTTTTCCTAGATATGATCTTTATTGCTAATTTGATTTCATGGTAGTCTTCATGTGATTTCAATTCTTCTAAATTTATTGGGCTTTGTTTGACGCCCCAGAATCTGGTCTACATTGGTGACAGTATCATGCGCGCTTGCAAAGAACATGTATTCCCCTGCTGCCGGGTGTGGCACTCGGTAAAGGTTAATTAGGTCAAGGTGGTTGGTAGTGCCGTTCCGATTACCTGTGACTTCACCAACTCTTCGTCTGGTTGTTCTTTCAGTTGCTGCTGTAGGAGCCTAAAATCTCCAACTACGATCATGGGAACGTCTGTTTATCCCTTAAATCTGCCGCAGCCTTTTTTTTCTTCATGTATTTAAAGTTCTATTATTGGACGCATTCCCATTTATGATGGTTACGTCTTCTAAATAAACTGACCGTTTTATCATTACAAAAAGGCCATCCAGGCCTAGCGACACTCTTCGTCTCAAAGACGATTTTATCTGTGATTCATGTGGACACCTCGACTTCTGCTGCTTCCTGTGTGTGTGGCACACATTTTTGCATCCGCTCACCTGTGCCCCATCTTTGTACGTAAAGTGCACATGGTCACATCCTGCTTCTACATCCTTCGACAATATCTGCCTCTTAACTGTAGAGTTTGGTGCATCAACATCAGAGATAATTACAGTTGGATTTAGGTTTACCGCCTTATTATTTTTTCCTGTTTGCTTCCTCTGGTTTTTTGTTCTCTTATTTATTGCTTTCTTGCCTTATTTTAGATTTTTAAAATATTTTTCAGAATTAACTTTTACTGCATCTATTTTTTAAGCTCTATCTCATTGCATTATTTTTTAGTAGTTGTTCTAGGAATCATAATATACATCCTTTCCTTTTCCGTTTACTTAGGATAACTATCATACCACTGCATGTCACAGGTAGAAAACCTGAAACCACAGAAGTCCCCTTACATTGTACTTCATGCTATCATTGTCATATTCATTACATCTACATATATTATACTCTATAAGACAATATTATAATTTTTTTCTTTAAACAGCTCTGTTTATTTTTTTCTTTTTCTTTTTTTTTTTGCTGAGGAAGATTAACCCTGAGCTAACATCTGTTGCTAATCTTCCTATTTTTTTTTTTTTTGCTCAAGGAAGATTAGCCCTGAGGTAACATCTGTATCAATCTTCCTCCACTTTATATGTGGGTCACCACCACAGCATGGCTGACGAGTGGCGTATGTCTGCACCTGGGATCCAAACCTGTGAATCTGGGCTGCCAAGGCAGAGCGCGCCAAGCTTAACCACTACACCATGGGGCCAGACCCCTTGCTTATTTCTTTAGAAGAGGAAAAAGTACTCCTTTATATAATTCAGATACTTACCATTTTCAGTGTTCTTCATTACCTCCTAAATATCCAAGTTTCAATCGTCAGTTCCCACCACCTTGAAGAAATTCCTTTGGCATTTTTTTGTAGTGCAGATCTGCTGGTGAAAAAATTCTTCAGTTTTCTTTTACTTAAAAAAAAAGCTTTTATTTAGCATTCACTCTTGAAGAGTATTTTTGGTTGATACAGGATTCTGTTTCAACACTTTGCCCTCCTTTGGGCACTTTGCTTTCTTGTCCCTTTATTGATGGAAGATAACGTTCCACCGTCTTTCAGCCTTCATAGTTCCGGCAGACAAGTCAGCTGACTTCAGTTGTTGGTCTATTGTGTGAAGCGTTTCATTTTTCTCTGCAGGGTTTCAGCATTTTCTCTTTACCTGTGGTTCCCAGAAGTTTCAGAATAGTGTCCCTAGGTGTAGTTTCCTTCGTATTTTATCCAGCGTGGGGTTTCCTGAGATTATTAAATCTGAAAATTTAAGTCTTTCACCAAATTTGGGATATTTTGGGTCATTAACTTTCAAATATTTTTTGTCCTGTTCTCTCTCTCCACCACATCCGGAGCTCTGGTTATGTGTATGTAAGATATTTTGATATTGCCCCACAGGTCTCTGAGGCTCAGACTTTTTCAATCCTTTCATTCTTTGTTCTTCAGATTGGGTCATTTCTGTTGGTCTGGCTTCAAGGTCACTGATTCTTCCCTGTCATCTCCATTCTCTTACTAAACACAGCCAGTTTGGGTTTTTTTTAAATTTCAGATATTGTCTTTTGCTTTTCCAGAATTCTTCTGTGTTTTTTATGATTTCTATTTTTATTTTTTATTTGGTTTCCTATCTTTCCATTTATCATAAGCATATTTTTCTTTATATATTTGAGGATGCCTGTAATAGCTACTTTAACATCCTTGACTGTCATTTCCAACATGTACATCATTTGAAGTTTGTTGTCCGTTGATTGTTTCACAGTGGGTTACATTTTCCTGGTTCTTCAAATGACAAATAATTTTTAATTGCCTCTTGGACATTGTGAATATTGTGTTGTAGAGATCTTACGTTCTGTTATATTCCTCTGAAGAGTGTTGGTTTTGGTTTTCTTCTTTAGCAGGTGTTTAACTTGGATAGACTAAGATTGCAAACTCTGTCTATGGGTAGCTCAAACCAGTTCAGCTCTTTTATCATAGCTGGTGTCTGTCCCACATGTGTGTGGCTCAGAGACCAGGCACAACTTTGGGCAGAGTTTATGCACAGAATTTGGCTTTCCTCTATGGCTTTTTCCTGTCTAGAATTCCCTGGAATTCCCACTTTCTAGAGCCTGTAGTTGTCCCAAACTCTGTCCTCTGTTCTTCAAGCCAAAAGGCCTGTGACTTGCTGTTGAAGACATGGCCACTCCAGCAGAAGTGCCGGCTTTGGCCTCGTTCAGGTCAAAAGCCACATAAAGGGAGCGCATCCTGTGCCATGCCCTTTTCCAGTGTGGACTTCCCTCCAGAATCTGTCCTTGTTCATGATCCAGTGCCTTCAGGTCACTGCTGAAGTTTTTGTTTATTTTTCTTCTTTCGTATTTTGTCCAGAGCTCATTGATGTTGTCCATGGGAAGATCCAGTCCTGTAGGATTTCTTCAGCTGTAGGGGAAGCAGAACACTTAAGTACATTTCTTACAGACATAAAACACTTCCAAAGTAGTTAAGGACCCTTTTGTCCCTCTTCTCTAGGAGGAATTTGGCATGTCTCCTTCCTATTCACTTAATTTTTTTTTCCACATATATTGTTCAAAAAGAATAATACTGCTTAATTCATGAACAAGGTACAGGACTGAGGAGTTTCAAAACATTGAAAACTTTCAAAAACTTTTTAAAAGTAATGAAACAATATCATTCTGCACTGTTTTTCCTTCTCAGTGTAATATTTTGAGATCTATCCATGTTGAAACATATGGACCCAGTTTATTCATTTTAACTGCAGGACACTATTCAATCATACGGATGTAACTCCAATTCATCTGCTATTTCTTCTGCTGATGGACACGTAGGCTGCATCTAGTTATTTCCTCTGACGACACCAGCACATGATGCCCTTGTGCCTACCTTTGGGGTTATTCCCCTAGACAACTGCTGGACCAGTGTTAACTTCACCAGCTTGCCAACATCACATGGAAGCGCCCGTTCAAAATATTAACGATGGTCATCTATGGGTGTAAACGTGATTTTCATTTTCTTTTAAAATTTTTTTTCTTTGAAAATAAGCCCGCAGCTTCCCCAAATCAACCAATGTATGCATTTTTCTAAGTTCCCAACTGTAAACACACGCAATCTTTGACAAAGTACGCGGAAACTTTGTGGAAAGTGCCACATAATCTCCAAGGAGAATGTGTCAGCTGGGCGTAGAGAAGGCGGAAAACTCAAGAGAGAAACTGTTAAGAAAAACATAGCAATTCACACACAAAAAATGCTTTCACAAAATACTTTTTTTTAAATGGACAATTCAATTTTAAGTGATATTTTCAGTCACTGAATTTTTTTTCCCCACCAGCAGTTACTGTTCTTATAACAAAACAGTAATGCTTTTTGTTATCAAACCAACAGCAGACCTTGTCCTCTCCCGACCCCCCCATCTCAGAGGAGGGCACGACCCTCAGTTGCCCACATATCTCAAGCCAGAAAACCGGGAGGTGCCCGTGACTCTCTGCTCTGTCTCCCCTCTCCCTCCCGCACCTGCCTGTGTCCTGTAGCTCTGAAAACTCTTAAGCACCCTGCTCACCTCCATAACTGTGACTGGCAGCGGCTGGCACAAAGCACGTGGAATTGCCAAGTGGACACTGCCTTTCCCGTTATACAGATGAGAGAAGCTCGAGAAACTTACCCGGGTCACACACCCACCACGGAGGCCAGAAACCTAAGCTGAGCCTTCTGACTCTGAACTCTCCCAGCCGGGCGAAATGACTTGCCTACAGCCGCACAGCTGTGACTCTGAGCTGGTACCAGAAGCGGGGTGCCCAGCCCTGCTCCCCCAGCGATGGCTCTCTCCGGAGAGACCATGTGCTTTGCTTCTGACTTTTGTGTTCTGGACAGGACTCAGTAACTCACCGTAGATGTCAGCGACAAGTTCTGGGCAGCCCGCAAATCTCTGCAGTCACTTAAAACCTCTGTCATTTCTGCAGAAGTGAATGTTTGCACAATTTATTCCACACGTCCTGTCAACAGAGACACCCCGGAGTCCTCATTTCCGCATCACATTTCATTGTTTTAAGCTGAAATGCGCCGCGTGTGCTTCCAACACGTTAATATTACCATAATCGCTTTCTCTTGCTGGGGAGGCGATCAGGAAATTGTGCTTTGATACGAGGGAGGGTGACCAGGTCCCGCTGTGCTGAAGCCAGGATTCCACGATTACCGGTTGTGAAAGGGGGTCTGTTACCAAAGGCCCACAGGAGAGCATCTCGGGGCCACCTCTCGGAGCCAGAAAATTTGAAACATCTATTCCAGAAGAGTGCGTCACGCTGTAAACCTCGCTGCATAATGCATGAGGGCTGACGTAGTGTCGTCGTTAATTCTGGTGTTCACAGTGGTGTGCTCTTGAGGGGGCCGTCATTTCTTGCTCAGGTTTTTTTTTCCTTTTTTGCCCTGGCAACAGATCTCCGAGGCCGTTTTAGGGTTGTTCTGAATTGTGTGAGTACAAGACACCTTCCCCGGCGGGGGCAGAGGCCAGGCGGCCTTCTCAGAGGCCGTGGCTGGGGGGGGGCCAGTGGCAGGTTTGCCTCGGGCTCTAAACGGAGCCCCCTGGTCTGGGCTCCCTGTGCCTGCTGGGGTTAGTCAGAGATGGAGGGTTGCATTTTTTAAAAAAAGAAACAAGAATGAAAAAAACAAAAGAAAAAGGCTTTGGAGCAGGAAAGAAATGAACCAATAATTGCTTTTCAAGCTGCACAAGACACTCGTTCTGGTCCAGGTTAACTGGAGAAAGAGCAGGAAGGAACAGAAGAGACAAGTAAGGAGGAATGGTGACGGAGTGGGGAGGAAAACAAGAACTGGGGAGAGAGGGCGATGCGGAGACGAGGAAAGGGACCGTGAGGCAGGAGGAGCTGGGAGGAGACAGGTGAAGAGTCCAGAAGACTCCGCTCAGATCAGCAGGCCCTGACGGCCCCCTGCAATGCCCAGGGCTGGGGGCTGGAGCCCTGGGGCAGTGAGGGGGCCATGGCCGTCCAGCTCTGTGAGGCTGGCCTGGGGTGAGCCTCTTGAAGGCCACCCCAGCAGAAGGCTGCCCAGGGTCCAACGTCTGCGAGCTCCAGGGGCCCTTGCAACCGATGTCCTCTGCTCAGGGCAATTGCAGTTGCCGAAGAGGTGTGCCCGGGGAGCCGGACAGAGTCGAGGAGCGTGGACGGCCATCTAGGGGACCAAAACCTGCGCTAAACTCAAAGATCTGGACAGTTCCTGTACAACCAGGAAATGTTCTACTGTGTGGCGGCAGACAGATGACGTCCACGGTGGGTTGTTCAACTCTGTTCAGATGGGAACAGGCGCGTGGAGGCTGCACACGCTCCGACTGGGGTGGAGCCGATGAAGCTCAGCCTCCTGGCTTCCGGGCGGCGTGCTCAGAGCTGGACGGCAGCGCACAGCATGAGTCTCCCCACTGCAAAGGTGGGAGGACCGGGGCCCAGGTGGCCCCCTTGGCCCCCGCAGCTTCCTGAACAAAGGCGGAGGAGCAGAGGGATGCGCAGGGCTCACCCCAGCTCCGCCAGTAACCAGCTGTGTGACTCTGACAAGTTCCTTTACTTCTCTGGGCGTCCCTGGGTGGGGGTGTGTAGACCAGGAATGAGAACTTCAGAGAAGAGAAACGTCATCAGACGGGATGAAGACTCCGGTCGCTCCCCCGACCCCCACACCCCCTCCCTCAGGAAGAGGAGGAATATTCTGACTGGCGCATCTGGGAGAGGGAGCCGAGCATGGCCAGCTGCATCCCCAGGAGCCAGCTGCCTGCAAGACTCGTGAATTCCAGCCCCGACCTTGCCGGGGGCCAGGGACCAGGCGGGGAGTCTGGCTCAGTCAGAGCGACAGTCAGCAGACGCCCTCGGCCACAGATCTGAGGCTGTCTGTGGTCCGCTCCAGGGGGACATTTTGACCTCTCTCCATGGGCCTCCGGAGTCTGCCTCTCTCTGGATGTTCTGAGCTCTGGCGGGGACGAGGGGTGTCGCTGAAGCCCCCGCATGCCCCAACCGAGAATGCCTCCCCAGCGGGCTGCATGAGGCTTACGCGGCAGGCGGGGCAGGTCAGTCGGCACCACCCCGGGCCCACAGCAGGGACCCAGCGGAGGGGGCAGTTGTCCCCTCGCCAGCCTGTGGCCCCACATCGACCCTTGTTCATTGTCCACTGACCCCGCAGGAGGGACCCAGCTCGGCCCCCACCACGTCCACCCTGACGCCGCCGAGCCCTCCTCTCCAGGGAGGGCGTGTGCAGTCAGCAGCGGGGGCTCCCGCCCCAGCGCCCGGGCCCCAGCGCCAGCTCCTCTGCTCCAGAAATTTCAATAGGATCGGTGTCCTTACCACCCGAACGGCCAGGACTCAGGGACGCTGTGCTGCGACCCGGACACGGGAGAATCCGCATCAGAGAAGGACGCAGAACAGCCTCCTGCTCTCGGGGGACGGTCCTCGGGGCGAGGTGCCGTCTGTTCACTGACAGGCCTGGGAGATGGGTAAGCGGTCGCAAACCCTCCTTCAAAGACAGGGCGCAAGTCCGCACACCAGCAGATCAGGGAGTGGGCCCAATCACGGGGAGACGAGAAGCGAGGAGGTGAGCAGGGCGCCCATGCCCTCCAAGTCCAGGGAGGAGCCCCGGGCGGCCCCAAGGGTCCACACGGGCACCCGGGGTCACTGCCCAGTTGGGTGTAAGCGCCCCATGCCAGGCACGGAGAGGCCGGCGGGCTCCTGCAGTGGACTCTTGTCCTTTGCTCCCCTGCCCCCTGAGCAAGGCCTGGGGAGCTTGGCACGGCGTCTGACACACGGGAACCCGCGGAGGGTGCATGAGGCCCGTTATTAGGGCCTTATGAGTGTGGTGTCCTGGACTAAATGCTCGTGCCCCCCAAATCCATATGGCGAGGTCCTGAACCCCCAGAGTGGCTGTACTTGGAAAGGGGCCTCTATAGAGGTAATTAAGGCTAAATGAGGTCACTAGGCTGGGGCCCTGATCCCACAGGGTCAGTGTCCTTACAAGAAGAGACTCCAGAGAGCTCTCTGCCCCACCCCCTAACCACGTGAGGACAGAGCAAGAAGCCGGCCATCCGCAAGCCAGGAAGAGGGTCCTCGCCAGAAGCCGACGGTGCTGGCACCCCATCTCCAACTTGCGGCTCCAGAACCATGTGACGTAAACGCCTGCTGTTTAAGGCCCGAGTCCGGTATTTGTTATGCGGCCCCAGCAAACCAACACACCTGGGGCGCCACCCCTCCCTCACTGCCAGGCCTGGGTGGGGATTCACCCAGCCCCGGGGGCACGTGACTGACCCAAGCCAGGCAGCGCAGGCCCTGGCCACTGCGACTGGTCCAGGGTGGGCCTACACCCTAAGCTCGGCCAATCTGGGCGCATCTGTGGGCTTTTTGCAGAACGTGGAACCACGACTTCTCATCCTTACTCGCTGTGCTTGAAGCTGGAAACACGGGGCCCATCTTGCAACACTGCGGGTCGGCCCACCTGAGACCACAGGGCCACACACGTCCTGGAGCCCTCGGGCAGGCTGACTGCTTTAGGGCCCCAACTCTCCACCCACCCCACAGTCACACCCTTTGCCAAATGATGTTGCAGAGCCCTCCTGCTGTGACCCGGCCTTGGCTGTGAGAGTGGCTCTGACCAACGGGGCACAAGCACACGCACACCAGCCCAAAACTGTGCACACTTCAGCTGGCACCTCCATCTCCGTCTCCGTCGTGGGAACGTCCCCGTTCAGCCTATTAGAGGGACATGCGACCCGCAGGAGAGCCGAGTGCCCCCGCGGACCTCCAGTCAGCCCGGACACGTGGGCGGGCCCAGCCGAGACCAGGGCCGCCCCGCTGACCGACGGACCCGCGGACACTAACAAACAGCCGCTGCTGTACGTTCCGGGTTCGTCACACAGCATGAATAGCCGCAGGTCCCGGACACCAGCCCTGAGCCAACAAGCGCCCCGTGTCAGCTGAGCCACCCTGGGTTATGATCCTAACAGATCCATCATCTGATCTTGGCCCGCAGCTCAGGAACAACGGACAAGGGCCAAAGAACCAGAACCACGGAAGTTCCGCCCAAAGTTCACGAGAAGGTCATTTAATGGCAAGTGTACAAAACGCACAGGAGGCACAGATGGACAGACTTCAGTGTGGCACGCCCAGCACTAGAGGGGTCTCCTGGCCTCCGTCAGGGGACGCGGAGGCACGGCGGGTGCAGTGGGGCCTGCGGTGCGTCCGTCTCCGGCGCAGCCTCCAGCCAAGGGGCCGCCCCGCTCGCCGGCCTCAGCCGAGCCGGCGCCGAGCACCCCGCGCGCCTCCCGGGCGCTGAAGACCTGCCCGTAGTACTCGATCAGCAGCTCGGTGAACAGGTTCAGCGGCACGAGGGCACTGAGGGAGGACGCGCCCTGGGACGGCCAGATCAGGTTCAGCCCGAAGACACAGGCCAGCCTGGAGCTGTTCATTTTGTTAAAGATGCTCTCCTGGGACACCTGGAGAAGGACACACAGGAGACCATGGGGGCGACTGTGGGTTCCCAGTGGGAAGAGCCCTGGGCTGGAAGCCACCGGCCAGGAAGCCACCGGCCAGGGCCGTCACCTCGTGCAGCCCCTCCTGCTCTGGGCCTCCGTTCCCCGTCTGTCAAAGGAAGCACTCAGCCTCGGTGACTCGAGGGTGCCTCCGCGCCGACCCCCAATGATCTGCGATCCCAGTCTCCTCTTCCACTCCAGGGGACCCGGGAGCCCCCGGGGGGGGGGAGGGGCACTCTGGCACAGCAAGTACGAGCATGGCCTTTGGCGTCGCCCAGCCACGTGCTTAGTGACGTCCCCCCAGCCGGATGACCGCTCTGACCTCCGCACTCCGGCCAGTGAGTCAGGACCGTCAAGACCACAAAGCACACGGGGGAGGCTGGAGGGCTGACGAGAGGGTGTGAGGAGCTTGCCTCCCCGAGGGGCTCCCCATCCTTCTCGACCAGCACCTACAGCACCCCAGGAAGAGGGATACAGCACCCCTGCTTCACAGATGAGGAAACTGAGGCCCAGAAGGTGCAAGAGACTTGTCCAAGGTCACATGGCCAGTGAGTGTCACGGGGGCCATGCGGGCCCATCTGAGCCAGGTCTGGTCTCTTCTCCTCACCTCCCGGGTCCCAGGGACCTCTCAGAATCAGAAGCAGGGACCATGTCAGGAGAGCAGAGAACTACAGCGGGGCATGGCGGGCCCCCCTACTAGAGCCAGTGAGGATGACTGGACATGCCCACGCCTGCCTCGGTGAGACAGCTGGGCCACCCCTGGGCACCACCACCACTGGCCCCCAGGCCCCCTGTGCTGTGCACCAGCTGGCAGGCCCGCTGAGGCCCCGAAGGCTGCGGAGCCAACACTTGGCAGCGCCGAGCCCCCCGACATGGTAACGTTGGTGCCGCGGAGGAGGCCAGGAAACAGCCCGTCCCCAGCTCAAGAAAAAGGAGAAGAAAGGAGGAGAGCCAGCAGCACAGCTTGCAGTCTTGACCTCTGAGAAATTGAATCAGGTGACAGGGAGGGAAAAGGAGAGTTTATTTTAAAACCAAGAGGTGGCATTATCTGACAGACACGTGCACGTGACACTGGCTCTGCCTGGAGGTCCTCTCCCTGCCCACTGGTCATGTCCTCAGGCCACTTGCCGTGGAGCAGGGTTCCTGTGCGGGCCCCTGAAGACCCCAGGGTGTGGCCCCACGGTGGGAGATTAGAAGCTCGGGGGCTGCGCCCAAGGCCAGGAGCCCCCCAGCCAGACCTCATCCACATGGCACCCCACATTCCACCTGCAAAGGGCCAGGAGAGGGGAGGCGACCCCAAAACGGTTATATGAGGGAGGACCATGGTCTGGAGGTGAGGGGAGACCCATTTGGGTTTGTTGACCCTGTTGTCCCGTTGACCTCACAGCTGCTGCTCCCTCCCCAGGAGGGGTGCCGAGCCCGGAGCCATGAGAGGTGCTCCTCACCAGCCATTCCTTCTCCCGGTGGAGGTGTCGAATGGGGCCCCACAAGAGGTCAGACACTGGAACCATGACAGTGACCTTATTTGGGAAAAGGCCTTAGCACATGAAATAATCAAGTTCAGGACCTCAAGATGAGATCAGCCTGGGGGAGGGCCCTAAATCCTACAATGAGGTCCCTATAAGAGAGACGATAGGGAGACACAGACCCACAGAGGAGCAGGGCACGTGGAGACGGAGGCGCGAGTGACGCAGCCCCAAGCCGAGGAATGTCTGGGGCCACCAGGAGCTGGAAGAGGCAGTGAGGGTCCTTCTCTCGAGCCGTGGAGGGAGCGTGGCCCTGAGACACCTGGGCTCTGGACTGCTGGCCTCCAGACTGAGAGAATGACTTTTGAGTGTTTGAGGCCCCCAGTTTGTGGTGCTCTGTTACGGCAGCCCCAGGACACCCATGGACCTGGTGATGTGTTCCTTTCACAGGAATGGCCTGTTCAGTCCACAAACTGGCAGGGAGCGCCTATGTGTGTCAGGCAGTGAGCACCTACTGTGTGTCAGGCTCAGTGCCCTCTGGGACTTAGCCTGTGCAGGAGATGCTGTGGGAGCAGAGACAGCCGATAAAGAAGGTCGTGGGCACTAACCGAGGGCAGCCCCTGGATGCGGGAGGGGCAGGGGCGGCCACGGTTGACCCCACCTGGCAGCCCGGAGGGCTCCTCAGCAGAGTCGTGGCCCGGCCAGGCCTTGGGCGAAGGACCAGATAATGGGGTTCCAAGGCCGAGGGAGAGTGACCCAGACCCTGGTCTGTGAGGCCCGGCCCGGAGCGGGCTGCCCTCCGCGGCCCTGCTCTGCCCACTCACCTCGTGCAGGAAGCCAATGAGGTAGCTGAGGACGGCATAGTTGTGTTCCGGAAGGCTCTGCAGAATCTGGCGGCAGCGGGTCACCCGCAGGCTGCTCTCCACGCCTGCAACGCACAAGTCCTTCCTGAGTCCTCCCGGGAGGACTCACACACGTGACCGACTCGACTAGACATGCTCGGCTCCGAGCGGCGCTCCGGGCCTCCCCGCCACACATCGGACGGTGTCCCAGCAGTAGTTTCCTTCTCCATGGACACCATGGGCCACCGGGAAGCCCATTTCCTCCAGAATGTTCCCGCAGGGGCCTCTGCATCAGCTCAAGGAGACGCACGTGGCGTCTGGGTGGGGTGCCAGATGAAATAGAGGACACCAGTTAAACCTGAATTTCAGATAAACAGCCAATACTTTCAGTATAGACACGTCCCAGGCAATATTTGGAAAGGACTTATACTGAAAGAGGATTCATTGCTTATCTGAAATTCAAGTTGAACCGGGTGTCCTGTATTTTTTATTGCTAACTCTGGCAACCCAGAGTCCTGAGCCCCCGGTGACACAGTGGTCTCAACACCTGGAACTGGAGAACCAGCTGAGTCTTAAAACGAGCAGGGAGCAAAACAAAACTGGAAATAGCCCCAAAAGTTACCCTTGAAACAAGGCAGCCGGTGGAATACTATGCGGCTGTCAAAAAGGATGAGCGGATGTGCACGGGACAGGGGAAGAACAAGGTCGAAACCCCGAGGCCGGGAAGAGCGCGTGAGGAACATTCCTGGGAAGAACAGCAGACCCCACACAGACCACCGCCAGGGTTGGCACGGGTGAGGGTCTGCAGGCCTTGGCGGGCGCCTCCCCCGTCGTCACACAGCCTCCTGCACTGTAGTCTCTTTTTTACTATGTGCTTGTGCTGTTTCCATCATTTTAAAAAACCCTGTCTGCCCCCCGACAGCCCCACTCCCTGGTGCAAAAAGGCCACAGACTAAGCTTTGCCTCTGAGACACTGTGCTTTTCAGGGACGACAGTGGTGGCCTGGCTGAGGCGGGCGGGGGTCCAGGTGGGCGCAGCCCCCTCTCCCGGCCGGCAGTGCCAGATGAAAACGGCAGGAGGCGGGCGCCCCGGCCCAGCCCGGCCTCGGCTGCGCCCCGGGGGCAGGGACATACTGGTGATGCCCAGGATCTGCTCGTAGGCCTCGAAGGTCAGCAGCGGCTGCGGCAGCTCCCGCAGGAACGTCTTCAGGATGGCGGCAGGGATGTGGATGTCCCCGTAGTCGTCAAAGTCCACGGGCTTCCCTGGACACAGAGCATCGTCCGTTTGAGTTCTGACCCCGGGCCTGGGATTCCTGCTTCCAAATGGGCTCAGACACAAACTGGCTTTAAACGTGCTGAGAGGAGAGCCTAGTGCTGGAGCCACGGGGCTGGGGCGGGACTGTCCTCTCCTGGAAATGGGGGCGCTGGCCCCCCCACCCTCCTCTGCCTCTCTGGGGCGCCCGGCAGAGGCTGGGGCATGCCACTGGTTTCTCTGTGGGGTAGCCTGGTCCTGCCTCGGATGTGAGCACCCTGAGGTCAGGCCCTGGAGCACAGGGCAAGAGGGGCCGGCCCTCTCGCTTGACAAGTGAATGCATGACCGTGGAAATGACGTAGGTGCCTGGGAGTAGAGAGGACACTTCCAAAGCAGCGACTTAACAGCTTTATTAAGGTCATCGCAGCATGCTCGGCTCTGACACATGCCTCCTGACCCACAGGTTTACACGCGGGCGGTCGAGGAAGCCGGGCTAAGCGGGCTGGAGGAGCCAGCCAGTCCCTCATGGGGACTCCAGGGAACGCCCCCCTCCATTTCAACCCGCCCGTCCACCTGGTCCGAGCAGAGACCCTAATGGCCAAACGGCCTCGTGCGGCCACCTGCCCCGCAGGCTGGCGGTCTGCACACGGGACTCACCTGGGCCGCTGCCCTGGCCTATTCTGGGGGTTGATGGGGCGAGGGAGCCACACGGCCTCGGGTGCTGGGGTGCTGAGGCTCCAGGGGGCTGTGCGGGCGGCCGGGCGGGAGGCGCAGGGTGGGGGGCTCTGGGAGCCGACTCACCTTGGTTGTAGAGCCGCTGGACTTCGCGGACAGTCTGGACACTGGCCGACCTCCGGAACAGGCCCTCGGTGCGGAGCCCTGCAGGAAGAGATCCTCCGGACACCTCACAGGCCCTAGCATGTCGGGCTTCCAGAACGTTCTGTGACGCCCCCTACCCGTGCATCACTCCCCTGGGCCTGACAGGGAACGCCCTCCAGCCTGGCTTGTTTGCCCCCACTGTCCACTACCCACACCTGTATTTATTCCTCTCAAGTCAAACCCTCTCCATATGCCCCAATCCCCCTGGTTGCCCACCTCTGTGCCTCCAGGAAAGGGGACTGGAAGAGACCCACACCAAAGTCAGACAGAGCCAGGGTCCGTCCAACTCTGCCCTGTCCAGCTGTGTGACCTCGGAGAAAGCATTTAGCCTCTCTGAGCTCAGCTGCCTGATCTGCAGAGCCCCTGCCTCTGAACTGCAGAGAAGATGGACGGAACAATGCCCGGCACGTGCCTGGCACCTCCAACTGTGCCACCTTCCTTTCTTCCCACGAGGGTCTAGAGCTGACCCATCCGATACAACAGCCATTAGTTGCACGGGGAGATTTAAATTTCATTAACTAAAATTTAAAAATCCAGTCACCCGCCTCACAACCGCATATTCAGTGCTCTGCTGGGCCATTGGCACACGGGCTGGCGGCTACTGTTCCACGGGGCAGACAGAGAACATTCTCAAGCTCTACGGGACGGCGCCGGGCCCAGACCCCCGCTCTCCCCCGCCCCCGCCCCCACCTCCCCTCCATTCCGAAGCTGAGCGAGCTGATCAATGCATACGTCCAAACCCACTCGGCTCCTGCACGGAGCCCTCCCCTCCTCATCGGCCAGGAGACAGCTTCCCGAGCACCCTCACCTCGGACCCGTGCGGGCCGGCTGCTGGTGACCAACTGTCCTGCCCCACTGCCCCTCCAGCTCCTCCCTCCAGCCTCCAATCAGCTCCATGCTCCTTCCTACCTCCAGCCTTTGCATGTGCTGTTCCCCCTGCTGGGGGGGCTGGTCCCTCTCTCTTTTTGCTAAGTGACTCAAATAGGCAGAATTCGGAGATGGTCCTCAGATTCCTGGACCCTTGGGTACACACACCTTCTCCCAGGTATTCAATCAAACACTAATCTAGGTGCTACAGTGCAGGGACTTTGCAGACGGAATTCAGGCCCAAGGCAGTTGAACTTAAGATACAGAGATTATCATGGGTGGGCCTGACCTAATCAGGCAAACTTTTTTGTTTTTTGATGAGGAAGAGTCACCCTGAGCTAACGCCTGTGCCAATCTTCCTCTATTTTTTGTATGTGGGACGCCACCACAGCATGGCTTGATGAGTGGTGTGTAGGTCTGCATCCAGGATCTGAACCTGCAAACCCCAGGTTGCTGAAGCGAAGCATGTGAACTTAGCCCCTACGCCACTGGGCTGGCCCCCTCAGGCAAGCTGTTAATGGAACTAGGTTCTTGCTGGCAACAGAGGTTCAAAGCACGGGGGCATGGATTCGACATGCAGGAAGCTCTCCAGGGAGGGGCCACACGGCAGAGAAAGCGGGCAGCCTCCAGGAACAGAAAGAGGCCCCTGGCTGACGGCCAGCAAGGAAACAGGCGTCTCAGCTACAGCTGCCGAGAACTGAATTTGGCCAATGATCTGAACGATCGTGGATGTGGGCTCCTCCCCAGAGACCCTGAGCAGAGAGCCCAGCCCAGGGCCTGGACTTCTGACCCACAGAACCGTGGAAACAACACACACACGCTGAGTTTGCAGCGATTTCCTCAGTTACGCAGCATGGGGACTAACACGGTGCCCTCCTGCCTGGCTGTCGGAGCTCAGGGCCCCGACCTCTATGACCAGCTCGCCCCTGTCCGTGTCATTCTGTGGTTGTCACAGTTATGGCTTAATGGAGGAAAATGTAACAGAGAGACTCTCCCAGTCCTGACTGTGAGCCCCCGGGAGGCCGGGCTGTGTGTCACGGGCACCCTGGCAACCCCGGTGTCCAGACAGGGATGGGTGCAGGCGGGGTCCAAGGAGTGAATGCTTAACTCACATATTCATTCAACAAATACATACCAAGCTCCCACTGTGGGCTGCTTTTTTTTTTTTTTTGCTTTATTTTTTAAATAAATAAAGGAATTGATACATTAGAAAAAGAAAGGCCCTCTGTACAGGTTCTGGCTTTCAGGCTGTACGCACGATCTTTGATCTGTTCCTGAAATACCCAACAGGACAGGAAGCGCTACAAACGACAAGGCAGAGACCAGCGACAGGCACGGAGCCTCCAGGGAGGGGTGCTGTCCCATAGAAGCTGTTACAATAGAGCACGCAGTTCCTGGGGTGCACGGGGACAGACCTCCAGACCAGCAGGGGCGGCTCCCCTCCCCGTGTGACGCGGCCCCGCTCTGCAGGACCTGCACCCACACGGCAGGCGGCCAGCGCCCCGGCAGGACCTTCCTCCCGTGAGGGCAAAACTGGCCTCCACGCACCTTCTCCGCGGATCTGAGCTCTGGCCCGAGGCGTCTTGGGGGAGCCCCAGGCTCACCCCCTCCCAGTCACTGAGTGCCCCCCCCCCCAGGTGATGGCATCTGCAGACGGAGCATATCCATCACGGCAGAGGGTCCCTTTTACGGAGGTCCTCCCACGGTCCAGCACTGTCCGACGCCTTACACGCATCACCTCATGCAGGCCCCCCCACAACCCTGTGAATCAAGTACTATCATTAACCCATTGGACAGACGAGGAGACAGAGGCCCAGAGAAGGTAAGTAACTGGCCCAAGTCCACACAGCTAGGACACTGGAGCCAGGATTCAGACCCAGACAGTCGGGGTCCAGAGCCCACAGCTGGAGCCTTGGTGCCTCAGCCTCGTCCCATCCCAGCCCCCCTCTCTGCATGGGGTCCACACCCGGCAGCCGTCACAGCCCTGGCAGGAGCCAGCTGTCACTCACCTTTCTGTCGCAGGTGCGTCACTGTGGCCCTCAGCACCGGGGGGATGAGTTCCCCTTGGTTTTTGTCCTTGAGGCTGGGGGAGAAAGGAAAGCCACAGTTTTTACCTGAGTATTAGGGTCATCAGGACGAGCACGGGGCTCTGGGCCTCTCTGCACCCCTGTGAAAACACAGGACTGAGGGGCCGTACAGGGAGGGAGCGATGCAGCCACGGTCCTCAGGGAGGAGGTGGTCTTGTATATTTTCATATTTTAAACATCAGTAAGATTTTCCTTTTTTAATCCAATCTGAGAATTTCTTTTAATTGGAAAATGTTTATGACACTTACATTTAATGTAATTATTATAAGGGAGCAGAATTTGCTACTCCAAAATGTGTCTCTTCGGCTTGATTATTTTTAAGAACAAAAGACTCTGGAAGAAGCTTTGACCTTCCCCCTAACTGCCTAAAAGAATGCAAGACGGAAGGCCTGTTCCAGGAAGGAGCTCTCACCATAGATACCAGAGTATAACATGAATGAGGTGTGGCAGAGAGGGAGGAACCTAGCAAGGCCCAGTAGGTCAAAGTCCTCTCCGTGTCCCATTGTCTTTGCAAACATTTGTTTATCAAACATTTGCTTGTCCATCTCCGTGTGGGTTGCTTTCATCCCCTTTGAAGTCCCAAACCACTGCCCTCGACATCCTCTTTCGTCTTTAGCTGAAGATGCTGTTTAGGTTGCTTTGGCCATTTTGGCAAGTTACTCGGTTCTCCTGGGTTTCTCCCAAGTCTGCATGTTATTAAACTCGTTTGATTTTCCCCTGTTGTTCTGTCTCATGTCAATTTAACTCTTACACCAGCCAGAAGGACCCAGAAGGACAGAGAGATATTTCTTCCTCCCCTACAACATCAGTATGGCTAGATTCAAACCTATCAACTTGGTATTTGTTCTTTCTTCCTTTTTCCCTCTTTCCTCGACTTTGTTTCGCTGATTGAGTATTTGTTAGGATTCCATTATACCCCCCATTAATATACTAGTCGTATCTCTATCTGTGGCAGCCTTAGTTTACAATACACTGTTTATTGCAGCGCAGCAGTCCACTTCCAAAACGACACTGCAACAGTATACTTCCACTCCCCGACCCCACGCTACTTTGTTACTATTTTTGTTTAAACAGTCAATTTACTTTCAAAGCTATTCTTAAAATGAGAAAATAAATTTATTTTCTATTTACTCATATATTTACCACGTCCAGCAATCTTCATTCCTTTGTGAGGATTCCCAATTTCCATTTGGCATCATTTTTCTTGTCTGACTAACCTCTCAACATTTCTCACAGCCTAGGTGTGCTGGAAAGCAATTCTCTCAGCTTTTGTTTATCTGAAAAAGTTTTCACTTTGCATTCATTTTTGAAAGATTTTTGCTGGGTAGAGAATTTTAGGTTGACAATTTTTTCCCTTAAAAAGATGAGAACTTTGAAAAATTTAAGAGATGTTGCTCCATTGCTGTCTAGCTTGCAACTCTCCAATTAGAATCTGCTGTCACTCTTCTCGCTTCTCTGTGTGGAAAGTGCCATTTTCCTCTATTTTTAAGATTTTCTCTTTGTCACTGTTTTAAGCAATTTGAATATAATGTGCCTTGGTGTTGTTTTCATGTTCCTTAAGTTGTGGTTCATTGAGCATCTTCGACCTGTGGGTTTATAGTTTTTTATCAAATTTAGAAAAAACTTGGCCATTTTTTCTTCAAATATTTGTCTGTCTTCTTTCTGGGACTCCAGTTACACTTACACTAGGCTGTAATGTTAATATGATGCCACCAGCTGTTTTTTTTGCCTTTGTGCTTCATTTTGGATCATTTCTACGGCTGTGTCTTCAAGTTCACTACCCTTTGATCGGAAGAACCTGATCTTCTGTTAACCCCATCCAGCATACTTTTTATATTAAAAATTGTATTTTTCATCTCCACAAGTTCCAATTGGATTCTTTTTAAAAATATCTCTTCCCCATGTTCACAATTTCTTCTACCTTCTTGAATGCACGGACCATCTTTGTAAAAGTGGTTTTGATGTTCTTGTCTGCTAATCCCTTCCTCTGTCGTTTCCCGATGTGATGGTTAATTTCACGTGTCACCTAGACTGGGCCACAAGGGTCCCAGCTATTTGGCTAAATGCTATTCTGGGCGTGTCTATGAGGGTGTTTTGGGATGATATTGACAACTGAGTAAAGCAGACGGCCCTTCCTAATGTGGGTGGGCCTCATCCAATCCGTGGAAGGCCTGAACAGAAGAGAGGCTGAGTAAGGGAGAATACACTCTCTCTGCCTGACTGTCTCTGAGCTGGGACATCGGTTTTCTCCTGCTTCTGGACTCGGACTCAGACCGGAATCCACACCATCGGCTCCCCTGGGTCTCCAGCTTGCCAACTGCAGACACTGGGACCTGGCCTCCATACCACTTGAGCCAACTCTTTACAGTTACTATCCTATTGCTCCTGTTTCTCTAGAGAACCTAGACTAACACCCTGGGTCTGCGTCTACCGACCACTTCTCCTTCTGGTTATGGGAAGTGTTCCTGCTTCTGTGCACATGTTATAATTTTGAGGGGCGGGAAAGTTTAGATGGTTTTTTGCTGGATTTTTTGGTACTCCTTTGAATGGAAATGAACTTTGTGCATTAAGCCATTTGGGAACAGGTCTATCCCTTCATGGATCGCTTCTAATTCTGTTGGGGAGAGTCTAGAGCAGTTTGTAGCCTAAGATAGTTCAGCTCCACTGCTAAAATGACACCTTTCTGGGGACTCCACCCAACGCCTTGAGTATTAAAGTCTTTCCACTTTAGCTGGGGGACCCTTACCATCCCCAGCCCTGTGTGAGCTCTGAGGGTCTTCTGGCCTATTACTTTCCGGTGGTGCTTTTCATTTCCTCTCATATAGAAACAGTTCGAACACAACAGCACTCAGCCAAAGGCTTGAGGGGGATGGCACTGAGTACAGGAGAGAGTGTCTTCTAGGAGGTGAGGGAGGGTCTGATGGGGAGAAGGAGGTGTCCGCCTCCCTCCTGGAGCCTCTGAGTTCCAGGGTGAGAGGGGCCAGCCCAGAGGCGTGGCTGTGACCCCTGGCTTCAGGCTCTACGAAGCACACGACCTTTCTGGAGGGTAATTCCACAACATGTGCCCGAAACCTTAAAGATGGCCACATCCTTTGATCCTGTAAAGCTGTTCCTAGGAGTTCATCCCAAGGAAATGATGCAGGATGAATACGCAAGACCTGTGTCTGGTCTCTCTCTTCAAAGCCAGCGTCCCACACGGGCCCCGAGTCACAGTAAACAGTAGACATTTAGCAGATAATGGGAGGAGGAGATTCACGCTGGGTCCTCTGATGGCCTCCAGCCGTCCCTGCCAAGCGCCAGGACAAGAGGCAGCACCTTGGACCGTCCTGACCAGCCAGGCTGCCAGCGGGACACCACCGAGTGACCTCTGCCAATGCCACAGAGCAAATTTGCCTGGCTGAGCTCCACCCAAATTCCAGGCCCACAGAAATCAAGAGACGTAATAAAATGGCTGTTGTCTGAAGCTGCCAAGTGTTGGGGAATTTGCGACACACAACAGTTATCCCCAGAAGACACAGTCATGAATGGACGGGGCCAGGACTCAGACCCACGAGTCCGAGCCTGGACTCTCCGCTCTAGTGTATCATCTATTTAATTTATGTTGCCATTTCAGTAGCCCAAATGAGAGACCGGAGGTGGACGCTGGGAGAGGCCAGGTGACCACATCAAGGTCCCGCAGCCCGGAGGTGACAGGGCTGGAGGCAAGGCGGGCCTTGATTTAAATCTGTGCTCTTTGCAGCAATTCGTCAGGTGTATATGATACTAATTCTGCTTTGCCTTTTCTTCCAAGATTTACAGAGGACTCAAACATTTGGTCCAGGTGAACAATACTTAAACCTTCACCAACAGCAACAATAGACCTTTGCATGTCCTGATCTCGATGGAAACTTGGGTTTTTTGGTGATTTCTCTTTTGCTGAAGCTGTGTGTCCGGGACACGGAACAACACTGCAGTTGGCAAAGGGCCCTGAGGACCATCACTGCCTTCACTGGGTCGTGCTGCCACGAGAACGTGGGTGAGACCCTCCCTGCCCCTGCCCTGTGTGTCCCCGTATTAGGGAGGAGGTGGCCTGGGGCCCAAGCAGTGTCCAGGTGGTCCCCTCTGCGTCCCTGGGGAGGGAGGAACATGATGGACGGTCTTCTCCCAGGATCCTCCAAGGCTGCAGGCTCTTCCCTCCTCCCTGCTTCCTCTGGGAGCCAGTCAGGCCCGGGCAAGTGCTGGCCTTGCCCTTAGAAGCTGGGTGACCCCTAGCCAGTCTTATCCTCTCCAGCCTCAGTTTCCCCATCTGGAAAGCTGAGATGCTGGCAGTCTCCCTCTGGGGTTTATATGCAAATAAACCATGAGGGATGTGAAAGGCTCTGTGCAGCTGTAAGTCAAAGGTACTAATAATTAAAATCATTAGGATGCCAGGGCTGATGGACTTGCCAGGCCAGAGACCGGTGGCCCATTTCACAGATGGGGAAACAGGTCCTGCAGGGTGTGGTGATGCCCAGAGTCACACAGCTCGAGAGCCTGGGTCTGCTGATTCCGAACTCAGGGTGGTTACTGTTTCTGGGGAGGGGGCCCAACCAAGGCCTACAGAACACGCCGGACACCGATGAGCTGTGATCGCGACGAGCTAATAAAAGACCCCTTTGCCTAGAGCTCAGCTGATATTTTGTTTCTTAAAAGCAGGAAGAGGCCTACAGGATCAAGAGAACCTGAGGTCTCAGCTGTGGGGGATCTGCCCGAAGTCCCAGGGCCCCCAGTCTGGCCTGCTTTCCTCTGCCCACGCATGTAAGGGGCACCGACACCCAGCCTGCGCCTCTCGCAGCTAACACAGAACGGGGACCCTGGCATTAATTAAATTACCACTCTCGATAGAGCAGAAACCCACAATTTGGATTCCTCCTCCCCTCCCCATCCCCTACTTGCTGGCTTGCTCAACGGCCTGACAGAGGCACTGCAGAGAATGACAATTACCCCCGGGGACTTGGGACGAAAGATGCCGGCGCTT